TTAGAAATAGGAATGCTCTCCCATTCATGTCTAATACAGGCCTCTAACTGTTCAATCGTCTTGGGCCTTCTTTGTCGCACCTTCCTCTTTATGATGCGCCAAATGTTCTCTATAGGTGAAAGATCTGGACTGCAGGCTGGCCATTTCAGTACCCGGATCCTTCTCCTACGTAGCCATGATGTTGTGATTGCTGCAGAATGTGGTCTGGCATTATCGTGTTGAAAAATGCAGGGACTTCCCTGAAAGAGATGACGTCTAGATGGGAGCATATGTTGTTCTAGAACCTGAACATAGTTCTCTGCATTAATGGTGCCTTTCCAGACATGCAAGCTGCCCATGCCACAAGCGCTCATGCAACCCCATACCATCAGTGATGCAGGATTCTGAACGGAGCGTTGATAACAACTTGGGCTATCCTTGTCCTCTCTGGTCCGGATGACATGGCGTCCCAGTGTTCCATAAAGAACTTCAAATCGTGACTCATCTGACCACAGAACAGTCTTCCATTTTGCCACACTTGATTTTAAATGACCCCTGGCCCAGTGCAAACGTCTGAGCTTGTGGAGCTTGCTTAGAAATGGCTTCCTCTTTGCACTGTAGAGTTTCAGCTGGCAACGGCGCATGGCACGGTGGATTGTGTTCACTGACAATGCTTTCTGGAAGTATTCCTGAGCCCATTCTGTTATTTCCTTGACAGTGGCATTCCTGTTTGAGGTGCAGTGACGTTTAATGACCCTGAGATCACGAGCATCCAGTAGAGTTTTACGGCCTTGACCCTTATGCACAGCGATTGTCCCAGATTCTCTGAATCTTTTGATGATGTTATGCACGGTTGATGATGATAACTTAAAAGTCTTTGCTATTTTACGCTGGGTAACACCATTCTGGTATTGCTGCACTATCTTTCTGCGCAACAATGGTGGAATTGGTGATCCTCTTACCATCTTGGCTTCTGAGAGACACTGACACTCTGAGAAGCTCTTTTTATACCCAATCATGTTGTCAGTTGACCTAATTAGTGTTAATTGGTCTTCCAGCTGTTCATTATATGCTCAATTTCCTTTTTCCAGCCACTTATTGCTACTTGTCCCAACTTTTTTGGGATTTGTTGACACTGTGAAATTTTGAGTCAACATATTTTTCATTTAAAATGTTACATTTACTCAAATTAAACTTTTGATCTGTCATCTATGTTATATTACAAATAAAATATTGACATTTGCCATCTCCACATCATCGCATTCAGTTTTTACTCACAATTTGTTTAGTGTCCCAACTTCTTTGGAATCCAGTTTGTATAATGTATATATATATATATATATATATATATATATATACAGTGGGGAGAACAAGTATTTGATACACTGTTGATTTTTCACGTTTTCCCACTTGCAAAGCTTGTAGATGACTGTAATTTTTATCATAGGTACTCTTCAACTGTGAGTGATGGAATCTAAAACAAAAATCCAGAAAAATACAATGTATGATTTTTAAATAATTAATTTCCATTTTATTGTGTGAAATAAGTATTTGATCATCTATCAACCAGTAAGAATTTTGGCTCTCACAGACATGTTAGTTCTTCTTTAAGAAGCCCTCCTGTTCTTCACCCATTACCTGTATTAACTGCACCTGTTTGGACTCGTGACCTGTATAAAAGACACCTGTCCACACACTCAATCAATCAGACTCCAGCATCTCCACAATGCCCAAGACCAGAGAGCTGTGTAAGGACATCAGGGATAAAATTGTAGACCTGCACAAGGCTGGGATGGGCTACAGGACAATAGGCAAGCAGCTTGGTGAGAAGGCAACAACAGTTGGTGCAATTATTAGAAAATGGAAGAAATACAAAATAACGGAAAATCTCTCTCGGTCTGGGGCGCCATGCATGATCTCACCTCGTGGAGCATCATTGATCTTGAGGAAGGTGAGGAATGAGCCCAGAACTACACGGCAGGACCTGGTCAATGACCTGAATAGAGCTGGGACCACATTCTCAAAGAAAACAATCAGTAACGCTCTACACGGTCAAGGATTAAAATCCTGCAGTGCACGCAAGGTGCCTTTCCTCAAGCCAACGCATGTCAAAGCCCGTCTGAAGTTTGCAAATGACCATCTGAATGATCCAGAGGAGGAATGGGAGAAGGTCATGTGGTCTGATGAGAGAAAAATAGAACTTTTTGGTTTAAACTCCACTCGTCATGTTTGGAGGAAGAAGAATGATGAGTACAACCCCAAGAACACCATCCCAACCGTGAAGCATGGCGGTGGAAACATCATTCTTTGGGGATGCTTTTCTGCAAAGGGGACAGGACGACTGCACCATATTGTGGGAAGGATGGATGGGGCCATGTATCGTGAGATTTTGGCCAACAACCTCCTTCCCTCAGTAAGAGCACTGAAGATGGGTCGTGGCTGGATCTTCCAGCATGATAACGACCCAAAACACACAGCCAGGGCAACTAAAGAGTGGCTCCATAAGAAACATCTTAAGGTCCTGGAGTGGCCTAGCCAGTCTCCAGAGCTGAATCCCATAGAAAATCTTTGGAGGGAGCTTAAAGTCCGTGTGGCCCAGCGACAGCCCCGAAACCTGAAGGCTCTGGAGGAGATCTGTATGGAGTGGGCCAAAATCCCTGCTGCAGTGTGTGCAAACCTGGTCAAGAACTACAGGAAACGTCTGATCTCTGTAATTGCAAACAAAGGTTTCTGTACCAAATATTAAGTTTCATTTTTCTGGTGTATCAAATACTTATTTCACACAATAAAATGGAAATTAATTATTTAAAAATCATACATTGTATTTTTCTGGATTTTTGTTTTAGATTCCATCACTCACAGTTGAAGAGTACCTATGATAAAAATTAGTCATCTACAAGCTTTGCAAGTGGGAAAACCTGAAAAATCAACAGTGTATCAAATAATTGTTCTCCCCACTGTATGTATGTATATATATATATATATATATATATATATATATATATATATATATATGCAACATAAGCGGATTCTGCATTAAACTTCACACTCAGATCCAAATGATCTTGTAAGTTAATGTTTCAACACCATGTTATAAAACATGTTGAAACATTTTCAAGATTTAGCTCATTTTATTTCTCATACGCAAGTTTCTTTTAATACATTATTTTCTCTGAAATATACTTATCCCAAAATGCAAAGCAACAACAGGTTTTTGTTTTCCTTTACATAAAACTAAAGCTCAAATTAGATAATTAACATGCACTCTGCCTTTTCACAAAGCTTGGATAAAACATCCTGCTTTTATTTGGAATGATCCTAAAAGCTTTCCATACTTTTACTTTGAAAGTTTAAACCAGCCATAATCTGGAGCTGAACCAGACTTTGGCTGATTTGCTCCAGAACTTGAAGTATTTTTGGCTGCAAGCATCAGGTTGTTGACGTTTTTGGAAACATAATCCTTTGAGCCGACTATGATCATCTGACATGACTGTCTCATTAACTACAAATTTTACAAGAAGCTTTTGGCAAAACAGCAATAAGATGTCATTGGTCTTTAAGTGAGAAATGGCTCATTTTAAATCCTTTAAGTGCCACATTTGGTTATAGTTCATCGAGAAGTCTTTCCTCTTCATATTACAACCATTAGTTTAATTTCATTTTTGTTGGCTCACTTGTTGAATCAGTCTTATTTTCTACAACAGAACGTGTTGAGCTCTTTCACTTTAAACGCTACACAATCGTCTTGGCTCCTATCACCGTATTTTTTGGATTATAAGGCACAATATCAATGAGGTCATTCGAGGTCAGTAAGCACAACCAGAATTAATACATAAGGCGCACCGAACTGTAAGGCTCACTGTTGATTTTTGAGACTATTAAAGGATTTTAAGTGTGCCTTATAGTCCGAAAAATACAGTAGACTTGTAACGTTTGATTTACTTCCTAAAAACACAAATATGAGCTCTTATGCGGACAGCTGCACGTGAGCCTTGATTTTGTGTCTAGTAAATCCATCAGGACACACAAAAAGTTTGCAGAAACACTTCAAGTCCATCTATCTGATGAAAGTAAAATGTATGAGGATAGACTTGTAATTTTTTTTAAATGAACACAAATTTCAAACATTTATATAAAAAAAAACCTGATGTAACTTGCTATAAAAAGAGCATAATTTCCTTTTTAAAATGCCCATCATATAGATTATTATTATTATTTTTTTACAAAATGTTTTCCTGATTGTAATTAAATACCTTACACCCAGTCAGTTAAACCAATGTTTATTTGTTTAAAAATTACAATTGATAAAAAAAAAAAGTAATTACTTTAAGCTGTTCAATGTTAAGAGATTTAACATGCAGGACATAAATTCAAACTTTCCAAAAATGAAAAACTCTTGAAGTGCTTATGTTTCGTCATCTTCATATTTTAAGTTCTAAAACAAGATATCACAAATATAAAATATGGATTTTTTTTATTTTATTTCTTTTTACTTTGTATTATAGGACACAAAACACAGGAATAAAAAGTAAATCAACAACACAAACTGTAATTTTCTGTGTGTAGAACATCAGCACAAATATACTGTCAAACGGATCCAGCCACGATGGTTGACGCTCTGCTACCAGTACTAATCCTTACTGACACTGGTCTTTGGCGAGTCGCTGCTGGTTTTGGGACGTTTGGATTCTGGAGGCTGGCCCAGCGGATCAGTGGGAGGAGAGGATCGTTCTGATGAAACACAAAGGAAGGAGGGACCAGTGACAGAACGTTACACTTCATGGCCCGATCCTGTGCAGTCTGCACAAGAGACATAAGAATGACCTGAAAACCGGTGTGTTGTTTTTGTCGTGAGATAAAAAAAAGCCAGAATCTGAAGTGTGATGTGGAAGATCCCATTATCATGATAACAACAAATATGAACTATAGTTTGAACACGTGGTGTAAAAGGTGTGGCTAATGTAGAAGAGAACTAATGCAGAAAGTTCATTTTAATAAGTCTGAAGTTTGTTTGACGCACCAACATAAACTGCAAAAAAACCATCTGCAAACTATGATCTGTTACACGAACATGACTTGAAAACACAGTTTGTTGTAATCTGTCGATGTTCGCAGGGTTTTCCTTCACTTGTCCGCACTTCAACAATTGTTTTACGTCCAATTGGAACTTTGCAGACTTAATCACATTTTCTATTTTTAAAAAATCCTTCATGTTGGTAAAAAGAGAACCAGACAATGATGCTTTTACTAACCGCGTTTGGTCGTGTCTGTGGAGGAAGGATTTTTGAAAAGTGAGCCGACAGCTGGAGGTCGAGGTGCAACAGGAGTCAGAGAAACTCTCCTGTAAACAAACAGAAAGCACCAGTAAACTACAAATCACAAACATGTCAGAGAAATAAAGCTGCCTTTTCAGCCGAGAACAAAGTTGACATCGTTTCTCATTTTGTGGAAACATGCGACAGAAAAGCACGTGCAGTCATTGTCTATGAGCAGTCTGTGACACTGATCCTTATTCTGTAGTCAGTGGGGGGTCCAACGAATCCCCTCACACCAGACGGGGCTTTGTTCCCTCTGCTGGGACTGAGCACATAGAATCCAACAAAAACATCACTACAAGGGCAGAGCTATTTTATTTAATATATCTTTAATAAGAAAAGGCACATATTTTACAAATTATAGTTGTTTTGTTTTTTTTTGTAAACAGCATCTTCAAAGATTATCAGCTTAGCTACTTTACCCACAGAGGAGAGGGCAGTAAATGTCCTGCCTGTTACCGCAGGCTTAATACATTTGAATAGTTCAAGTATTTCCATAAATTATCATACGTGGTGCTGTACAAGGAGCAGGTGCACCGCCCACACCAGCCGCTCTGAATTAAAAAAAAAATGTAAAAAAAACAAACAAACTGTAAAGTATTTTGTTCTGTAGAAATCATAAATTTGGGTTATTTTTAGATTTAAAAAATGATTAAAAATCTATTTAAAGTGCCTTTTTTAAAAATAACGATTTATTTTTGCTGAGTTTTCCAATCATTAGCAGGATTTGACTCAAACTGTTTGATAGGTAATTTATTCTGGAATTTTTAATTTCTCTCCACCAAAACTCAGTGAGTGTTGAATATCATTCAGAGTGCAGGTTTTGTAATCGTGCCCCTCAGGGGTCAGAAAAATCTTTGACATTTCCTTTTCAGCTTCTGCACCGTGCAAACTTATTACGTTGTAACTTCTGTAAACACCTCGTGTTGCTGCATTTGGTAGGAGGAGCAGAGGAAAAAAAATCTTACTTTACAAATTTGCCTAATTTTTGACACATTTAACAATTTACTAAATTGGATGCGAGAAATCAATAAAAAAAAAATCTGCTGTTGATTTAAGGTTCGAGTGTAAACCTAATAGGTTTGTGTGCTCCAAATATTTTATGCAATTATCTACTGCCTGTAATTGGGTAAGGATTCTGTTTATTCTCCTAAGAACAAATATTCCATCGATATAGTAAATTCTTAGAATTAATTTTTCCTAAACATTTTAAACGACTCGAACATTTTGAACAATAAAAACAGAGCCCTTCTGATGTCACACATGTAGTGCTGTCATACCCCTTAAATTTAAAGTTAGGAGCATCACTCCATCTAATCTTGCATTTTTGCCCCACGCTGCGTCCTAAATGATCGACTACTTCCTGGTTGTCAGACTCCAGCTTGATTTTCCAGTTTTGTAGCGGCTCAGACTGTACAGATTTACTCCATCACGCCTGAAAGAACCTACAGGATAAGCACGTCAACATTAAAATCGTTTTATTTTGGGCAGCTCCTGCTTTATTTACCTCGGGGTGGGTCCTTTTGGGGTGGTTGAAGCCTTGGGGGTAGTGGGCCCAGGAGAAGTGGCACTGTTAGGGACTTTTGGTGTGGAAGGAGTAAGCGGTGTAACACGTGGCTGGTTTGTGGAGGAGTTGGTGGGGGTGAGGGGAGTCAGCCGTGGCTGAGGAGTAGAAGGTGCACTTCCAGGAGCGATGGCTTGAGATGTTGAAAGTGTTTTAGGGCTAGCAGGCTTTCCCCAGCCCTCCAGGGTGTTGAGGGTAATCCTCCGGGGCTGGGGCTTGGATTTGTTTTTAGGGGTGCTCTTATTCTCCTCTGTTGGGGTGGAACAGGGGGCTTCTTTACCACAGCTGGGTTGAGATGTGGGATTCGGGGTTAAGCTTGGTGGCTGGGACACGGGAGAGGGATTCTTAGTCGCTGATGACTTCTTTCCTTTTTTCTCAGCACTACTGTTTGGGACAAAGACCTCCAAGGCAGGGGCCTCCTTTAATGGCGTTCCCAGCTCTCCCGGAGAGAAGGACAGGAAGGAGCAGTAACCGTCTGTGGAGGAGACAGCCAGGAAGGAACCGTCACCAGACCTAAACAGGACATTGCACAGAAACATTGAGAATTACACATTATTGAGACAGTAAGAGGAAAAAATAAAATGCATTTGTCTTCATGTTTACATTCCCAGATGCAGTGCGTCACAGCCTGGATGTTTTATGCTTTTATTGTTGTCCTAAATCTAACATGGCCATCATCATCACCCAGCGTTCTTTACAAAAAATAAAAAACCTCCAGTGTCAATTCAATTCAAAAAAACTTTATTAATTCCAAAGGGAAATTATTTGTTGTTGTAACTCGTTATCCTCATTTCATTAAAAGATGCTATAGATGCTGATGGCTGTAGGCAGGAAGGATCACTTGTAAAGGTCCATCCCACAATGGATCCTAAGAAACTGGCTGCAGATGCCGTCAGATTCGTCCACCCAGACTCTGCTGGCCTCTCGGTTCCCCCGGGCTGTAGGACAGCCCGAATGCCGAGCAGAACTCCTCCCAGAGCAACGGTCACTACTCCCAGCAGCCTGCTGAGCTCCTTGTCGCTGCGGACATCCAACTGTAGGTGCGGAGGGACGATCCTGTCCTTTCGCTGTCATGAGCCGTGTTTCCTGCTAGTTCCAGGATCTCAGTGGTCAGGCACTCGAGCACAGCTGGCAGGTAGATGAGAGTGCGTCCACAGAGCATCCTTTTCAACTCATTTGAGATTTGGGGCTGTAGTTGAGATATTATTTGAGCTTTTGAGATGTTAATCAGCTGCTGTTGTTGTAGAAAACTGCCTTGTTGCCATGGTTACACATCATCACAACTGTCCAAAACTAAAAAAGTTTCAGTAAAAATCGTTCCAGCTGCACAGCATCAGATACCAAAGGAAACAATCATCCAAAAAATGTGATTTACATCCAGAAAAAGAGGAATTAAAGTTTCCAAAAGCAAAATCTCAGAATGAAAGTAACAGAGCTGCTCCAACATGCAGCCACCTTGAGCGGCGCAATTCTAGAACTTTATATATATATATATATATATATATATATAAACACTGTATATTAGAGATTAACTCAATAAAAGGTTGAGTTTTATATATATATATATATATATATATATATATATATATA